ATATTTGAGAAATAATAATAATGAACTGAGACCTGTTGTTTCACCTGCTGAACTGGAAATGAATATTCATGTCTTTATCTCATCTCGCACTGACTATTGTAATGAAGTTTTCTCCTCACTGACTATGTCTGCTCCTGATCATCTGCAAGCAATCCAGAATGCTGCTGCAAGGTTACTTATGAGGTCATTACCCCTATACTAAAATCACCCCTATACTAAAATCTTTTCACTGGCTCCCTGTCTCATATAGGATCCAGCCCAAAATCCTCATTCTTACTTACAGAGCAGTACATGGTAAGGCTTCCTCTTATGTGGCCAAACTACTTCTTCTGTATTCTTCAGCCCACTCTCTTCGATCAAATATGCTAAATCTGTCGCTTGTCCCTTGCATTCGCCATAAGACCCAGCCATAGCATCTAAATTTTTGAATGCTCTGCCCTCCCTTATGCTGACTCTGTGGTTTCTTTAAAAAGCCAGCTTAAGACGCACCTGTTTAGACAGTCACGTGGGTAACATGTATGCACCAGGTCTGTATTTTATTCCAATTTTGTGTATTATTGTTGTGTATTGTGAATTCTCTTTTTGTGAAAATAGTTTTACTAGTTGTGCACTTTTAACTACATGCCTCACAAAGTCACTTTGTCTTATGTTTTTTTTCTTGTTGTATAATGCCCTTGTGAAGCACTTTGTGACCTATGTCAGTTAAATTTTACTTTACTTACTTACTTACTTAGGCTACTTACTTACTTAAGTGAAATTTTAATGAGTGACTTTAACTTCTACCAAAGTCTTTCAGGTACTTACATCTACCACTGGTGTTGGAGAGGGGTCAATTAATATTTGACTATTCTAGCTAGCTAAGGGTTAATTCACTGCACAAGTACAACCGTGGCACAGGAGGAGCTGTAATAAGTCTCATCAATTGATGTCTGAATGGGGATGACTAACGCTGAATTGAAAACAGTCCACTAGTGAAAGTGTCTAGTTATGTCAAGTCACTAGGTAGTTTTACTTTGTCACCTTGCCTCAATTGTAGAATCTTGCTTCTCATTGATTGCATTCACAACTGCCTGCTGGATTTACCTGACATATCGCTCATACCACCCTACCCAAGAACCCCCCCGCATCTCCCAAGAATTGCATATTGAACCTAGGTAAGGCCATGCCCCCAATTATTAAATGCATTTTCATACAAATACTTTGTTCCTCTGTTATTCCACTTTATTGCACATAACAATGTTGAGAGCAAAATGTTCCAAAACAATTTACACACACACACACACACACACACACACACACACACACACACACACACACACACAGAAGGTTAGGTATGTTGTCTATCTGAGGAGGAGTATAAGAATGTTTGGTGAACTGTTCTGCGCTGCTGTCTCATTGTTGCGGAATGTGAAGTTGTAATTTGTGTCTTTAATAAACCCGCCAAGGCTATGAGATCAACCTCGAGTCATATGAGTCGTTTCTTCAACATCCCCCAGTGAATATGTCCTAAAAAGCTACAAAAGCTGCACAATCACATCCACTCTATTCTGTCTCTTATCAACTCATATCCTCAGAACAGTAGCCATCAGGTCTTTAAACTGTGACATTACTGCCAGGGTGAGTCCCTCTTAACGTCAGGGAATGCCACTGTAATTGCCACTGTAAACTCATCTCATCTCATCTCATCTCATCACACTACTACCAGTTAAGGGCAGCAAAGTACCACATAAAATCGCAATACTACATGAATAGGAACACTTTAAGTTATTGCTTGTGCTGTTCCTGCTCTTGAGTTAGGAGTTTCTATGTAAAACTGGCTATATAAGGCAGATGTCAGTAGCGTTCACAAATCGGAGCAAATATCAAATATGCTTTAAGTTAATGACAGTACAGCTCAGAGGTCTTACCTTGTTCACAGTTCTCTACGGTTCCACACTGGGCCAACAGACCATCCAGCACCTGACAGACACACACACACACACACACACACACACACACAGAGGCAAAGAACACAGTTAGTTCACATGGTCAGAATACACCTTAGCCTAATAAGACAGAGTTGGCATCGTAGTATAGTTCATTGTGTCCTAATTGAATTCATCTGGATACATACAAAACAAGGACCTACAAGACATGATCTAATTTAATCCTGTAGATTTTTCATCATCATGACAGAGAGCAAAGATGAAACAAAAATAGTGAGCACTTTCTTACATGCAAAAACACTAAATTAAATGCATTAGGAAACTATAACTAACAGACCACTCAGGATTTCAAAGGCTGCTTATAGGTGCTGCTGTATGGACAGAGGGCATCACAGTGACAGTCAGTCCATCAGTTTATTCATTTGCCAAATGAAATTGTATGGGTACAATTTCAGTGAAATGTAATCCTGTCAGTATTAGTAAATATTTAATCCCAGCCCATGCACATTCGCTTAGTTAGTGATGTCGGCATCAGACACAGACGCCAAAAACTGATGCGATGCGATGTTGTGATATGCCGCCAGTCGGCTGTACGAACCTGTCATAGCGGTATGATATGCCACATGATGGCATCAGTTTGAAACACTGCCAGTAATGATGAAATATAAGGAGCTGAAAAGATCTTATATGGCAGGCGGGAGGGGTGGTGGATGGCTGGGTGGATGCTGTTTGCTTCCATATGAATGTAGAGCTAAACCATGATATTTTTTTTTTCTAAAACTAACCATGTACTTTGTTGATGTCCTGGTCATTGTGGTATCCTGGAACGTCATCAGCAGACGCAGTAGGATACCTAGCGCATAATATGTAGATGTCAAAGTCCAGTGACAAAGTGGTGATATGTGATGACTTGGGATAAGAACATATTATCAATTTTCAGCTTTGTGACCAGCCTGGAGGGGACTATGTTAAACACTGAACTGTAGTCAATGAACAGCAATATCATATAGTTCCCTTTTTCCAGGTAAGATAGGGTGGTGTAGAGGATGCATGCTATGGTGTCTTCTGAAGATCGGTTGGGACTGTAGGCAAACTGTAGTGGGTTCAGCGTGCTGGTTAGTGAAGAGCAGCTATTCAAAGCACAAAGAGGCTGCTTGCAGTTATTGTAAACATTCAACGCGACAGAGATCCTAAAATACAGCAGCTTAGACTTTTTTAAAAAATGAACAGATGGTGCAGCTGTGCTTCATGTCATATTTAATTGAGGTCTCTTTAAAATGAAGGCTCAGAGGCAACGATGTCTCCTTTTGTTAAATGCTGCGAGTCCTTGCGCTTCTTCCTTGCTTCCCATGAGTGGTACTAAGGCATGAGGCAAGGATGTAAGGATGTAAGGAAAAGAATACAGGATGTGCAAAGTGGGAAATGAAGAAGGACTTAACCTTCATCTGTCATGTATTTCATTCTTAAAATATGTTTACTCAGTAACATATATGTGTGATTTGTTTGATTTGTGCAAAATCCTTCATATCTCCAGTAGCGTTTAACATATGGGGCTCTAGTTTCGCAGACTGGGCGCGGTGGAGGTGCAGCACACCTGCGCTTCGCCAGCTGGGTGATTTTGTAAGTTTGGCACACCGTGCGCCCTGGCGCAGCTCCTCCTCTATCCCACCTCCGTCCCTCCTACCGGCGCAAGTCGGAAAGAGGGAGGAGAGAAGGCGTGGAGTGGGTTTTACACACATCACACCAATCAAATGAGCCCCTCTCCTCGCCCTTAAATGTGCCGTGCGAAGGCGTAATGAGAGTTTACTCAATTCGCCATGGCAGAAGAGAGCAGCAGCATCAGACGGCCAAACTTCTCCCAGGAGGAAACTGATGCTTTGGTCCGGGAGGTCGAAGCTCGCAGTGTCCGAATATACGGAACTGCGAGCAGACCTCCACGGGCTGATGATGCAAAGGTAGCCTGGGAGGAGGTCACCACAATTGTAAATCAATGTTGCGTTTCTCTCATGCGCGCATGCGCGCACTCTCTTTCTCTCTCGCACTCTCACGGGGTTTCTTTTCTTTTGACTTTTCTAAGATGACAGATGCTGAATATATACTCCCTATCTGATGCTGTGGCTGTTTGTGGTTGGCTGAGAGGGATGTGAACTCATTAGTTTGCAGCTGTGTTAATCAAATCAGGTTGGGTTTCCATTACACGTGCCAAACGTGCCAAACGGTGCCAATCCCCTTTGATCTGACATCAGATGTGACGGGACAGTCGATATAGAGATACACTTATGTGCTGATTGCAGATAGTTGCATTGAATAGTGTTTTTTGGGGTATTTATTGCATTGTTAATGTGCCTGATATTCTGGAAACCTGCCTGTGAGGTTTTGGTGACGTGTGCGCACTGTCCGCCGGTCAGCCAAACTTTGGCTTACACCGACTGTGGTCCCCCTGCGCTGACAGTAGACCTGGTTTCAGCTGGCAAGCTTTTAGCGCACCTTTGGCGAAGCCTTTTGGCACGAAACTGTCACTGCGCCAAGCTGTATCTGTCGACACCTCCCCCTGCTGCGCAGCCACACCCATCTCAGTGCATCTCAGTCTGCCAAACTACCAAACTGAGCGCGCCTCAGGTTGCGCTGCTCGAAACTACCTCTGCGCGCGGTTCGCCACCCTGCACCACCTGCGCTGCGCCGGGAAACTAGAGCCCATGGATGTGACAAAATTTTGATATTTAGCTACATTACATTCCAATGAAATGTTTTACATTGTATTACTTATCTTATTACAAACCTGCTTGCTCTAATGTGCTTTTATTTTGAAGTGTGTCAGCAATTCTGCCTTACATTATTACTAGTTTTTTCTCTGAATACTGTGACTTCTGACTCTTATTAACGTCCAGAAAACATGGAAATGACAAGTTTCAGTCGGTTTTGCTTGGAGACGTCGCCCCTGTGTGGACGCAGAAAGCAGGCCCAGCGCAGCAGAGAGAGACAGGGGAAGAGAGGGAGGCAATGTGGCAGATATTCAAATGAGACACACTCATACTCACACAGAGTCACTTCGAAGGCACTTGCTTGCCAGAAGCATACAGAATGTCACACCTTCACAAAAACAATAATAGTGCACACCCACGTTGACACCCACATACGGCACATGTATGGAGCTTATTGATCCTCCCATATTCCCATCTTCTGCTTTCTATCTTGTTTTATCAATTGGCAGATTAAACTGAAGGGAATAAACTGAGCAGAGGTAGCAAGAGAAAGCAGTGGGAGGATAAAAACAATAAACACCAGGGGCCCTATTTAGATGGTCTAAAGCGGACGGCGGACGGCGCATAATCCATGTAGCAAGTGTCATTGCTATTTAGATGCAGGCGCAGTTGTCATTTTCACGCCCTGCGCCCTCGTCGTCTAACTAGCAAATGAACTTGCGCTTCTCTGGGTGTGTTGGTCTAAAAATGAGGAGTGGTGAGGCGCAGTCATGGCGCGTTGCTAGTTAGATGACTTAAAAAGCAAATGCGCCAGTGACCAACAAAAACCTGGTCTAAAGTCAACGGTGCAGTATTTCGCTGTTAAACAAATTAGTAATATGCGTCTCTAGGCGGGTGCACAACGCGCGTGCACTCTGCTCAGACACACACGGAGCAGCCACACATATGCAAAACATAACAAATAAAAATATGATTACAATGTGAACAATTATTATTGTGCACATTTAAATATTTATCAGAAACATGTCTTAATGGTCAGTCATTAATTAGAATGATCTAATCGCAGTAATAATGATCATCATAATTCGGGAGGTCCAAGCTCGCAGTGTCCGAATATATGGAACTGCGAGCAGACCTCCACGGGCTGATGATGCATAGCCTGTAAAATGAACTTGTCTTTCCCAAATGAGTTGTGATCATTTTGGCATGTAAATCATAGCTTCTGTGAACTAAAAACGTAAACTTATAGCCCTACAAGTACAAATGTATATTTTAAAAAAAAAGCTTTTAGAACATAAAACTGAAGATCATCTTGTCAGGAGGAGGAGGAGGAGGAGGAGGAGGAGGATGCACAGCGGCCGCACAGCCCGCCGCACAGCCGGGGGCCCACACGCCAGACCAGACGACCCGGGTGCAGCCACGGGACCAGCCCTTCCTGAGCCTTCAGGCGGGGGGTTCAGGATGCTGGAGAGGGAGCTGGGCTCTCTAATCTCCCGGGTTAAAATAAAATTGAATAACTTACAATGTGTTGACAGCGTTTCTCTCGTGCGCGCGCTCTCTCTTGCTCTCTCGCAGTCTCACTCTCTTTCTTTTCTTTTGGCTTTTCTACGATGACGGATGCTGAATATATACTCCCTATCTGATGCTGTGGCTGTTTGTGGCTGGCTGAGAGGGATGTGCACGTATTAGATTGCAGCTGTGTTAATCAAATCAGGTTGGGTTTCCATTACGCGTGCCAAACGTGCCAAACGGTGCCAATCCCCTTTGATCTGTCATCAGATGTGACGGGACAGTCGATATAGAGATACAGTTATCGTCTCCTCAGCTGTAAAACGCTCACTCTTTCCAGTTGGTGCGCCATCTAACTAGCTCTCCGCCGTGTGCTCCAATCGCGCCTCTGTTAAAGGGAATGAGAGGTGACACTCTGATTGGCTTACTGAATGATACACCCAAAATACACCCATGACTAATTCACAGAGTAAGTCCAACCCTTTTAGACTCTCCGCCATGGCGCACAGTCTGAAAACGCGCTGTCTAACTAGCAAGTGACTGGGACACGCCCATGCGCCGCACACCTGGCGCTTTGCGCTTTAGACCATCTAAATAGGGCCCCAGGTGTCATTTCTTCATACTAATGTTGTTTTTTCACTGTAAACTAATTGGAATGAGGTCCGCTCCATCATTGATGTGAGTGTGAAAGTGTGAAATTTTCATCTTGAATTTTTGGTTTTACAATAAATTCAGTGGCCTATGTAAATTTCACTATAGCGTGAGTGGTTGTCTGTCTCTATGTGTCAGCCCTGCGATAGTCTGGCGACCTGTCCAGGGTGTA